AGGCATAACCTGTTGAGCAGAAAGTTCTGCAACACATGCGGCAGAGCATCCCCCAAAACTCTGCACTTAAAGCAAATCAGAGGGTGCTATTTTTATTTCTTCTTGCAAGACTGGAGCATATTTGTGATAAGGATGCGTTACATCTGGTGTCAGCCTGCTGTGCAGAAGACAGAAATCAAGCCTGGGACCACCCTTTTCCATTGGCCTACCGCGTGGTTTGCAAGTTGTGTTTCTTTCCTTATCTTTAATTTGCCTCAACTCGTGTTTTTTCTTTCCATATTTAATAAATGTAAACTCTCATTTGTAAACCCTTTTGCATTTGTTTTAACCAATTCTTGCTCTGGGCAGAAAGAACCTAGAAAACATCCCCAGAAGCAGACTCTAGCACTCCAAAACCTGGTAACAATGCTTGTCGGTAAGGATATTAGGAGAGCAGGAAGTTTCCTCTGGAGACTAGTGGCTCATGGACATAGTAAGGGTGGGGAGGCCATGTAGGGAGAAGTCAGCAGAGGAACATGGCTAATGGCTGAAATTTCAAGAGTGGTGTTAATTCATACTTAGTGTCATACTTTTTTTCTCATTCTTAATTACAGTACTTCCTGTGATTCTTAAGGCCTCAATTAACTGTCATAAATGTCCATCCAGGTACAGTATATGATGCACTTTTGGGAATCAAGTGTGGGGCTTACAACCATCTTTGGATGAGACAGGAGCTTGGCTTGCATGAAAAGGTAATAAGGTGAGCAGGAGTTATTTGCATGGGCTTGCCTGGAGCAGCAGTCCATGATGAGTTAATTTAGGGACAACATAAGATTTCAGTTTGTATTGTAGTGTGTATTTCTTTTTGTCAAAATTTTATTTTTCTTTCATCTTTTGCTCTGGATCTATCTTATGCTTCTATTCTGTTAAACTTAGGAGAGACCATTTGACTTACTGTGGCCAGGGGCGTGCGGATAGGATTCTGCCATCTCTGGGCAGAATCATTACGAATTTGTGCTTCAAGTGTTAAGAATCAAACATTCCAAACTTTGTTCTCTGTGTCTTTTTCCCATCGCCTTGTCCTAGAGCAAAGTTGAGAAGGTGCCAAAACCATAGCCTAATTTCACTTGACATGTTATGTGAATAGGGTCATTAATTTCATATATCAGCTTGATTGGCTTATGGAGGGCTTGGATATTTTGCTAAGCTTTCTTTCTGGATGTGTCTGTGAGGGTGTTTCTAGTGACATTAGAATCTGAATCTAAACTCAGTACAGTAAATGACTCTCCAATTGAATGGTATCATCCAATTTGTTGATGGCCAATCTAGAATGAAAAGTGGAGGAAGAAGAATTTGCCCTTTGTGCTTGACCGTTTAAACTGGGGCATTGGTCTTTTCTGTCCTCAAACTGAGGCTTGTATTCCCTGATTCCCTGATTCCCTGATTCTTTGCACTCAGACTAAACCAGAGTTGGTAGCTTTTCTAAGTCTTCAGCTTATTGATAGCAGATCCTGGGACGTCTCAGTCTCCCTAATTAAGTGAGATAAATTCACATCTCTCTCACTTTCTCTTTCTTTGCTAAAACCTAATCAAAGTTGTTGGTTCTGCTTTTCTACAAAGCCCTGAAAAATCAGTACACCTTTGTGGTTGTGAGCAGCTGAGACTTTGGGATTATTTATAACTGCAGCATAATCTGATCTGTCCTTATTTATATGGCGGGCTATTTTGCAGACACAAAAGAATCAGAATTTGAAAGACTGAATCTTCTGTTCTATATAGTAGGACTTGACTGCAAATTGGAGATCTGTGACACACTTGGGTTAATGTTTGACTTGTACTTGTGTTTTTAAATTGATGCCAGTGTATTTATGCTTTAATGAGATATCTTTTTTTCCTTAAAAATAATATCTATCACCTCTCTCAACAAAGCCAATTTCAACTTTTGTTTTTAATTTTTGCCTGTTGTATTCAGGAACCCTACTGATCACTGTCTATAAACACTATACTCAGACAAATAAAGAATGTGTTTCATGAACTTTGGTTTGAACACACACACACACACACACACACACACACACACGGTCAGAGACTACATTTGAGAAAACAATTTCACCCTTGACAAAACTTAACTACTCCCCCAATTTTTATATTAAAAAGCCGTCTCAATATTATGTTTTTAAATGAGAGGTTTTGGCTTTAGGTTAACTGTTTAAAAAACATTAAAAACTATCCTCCCTGTTCCACAAGGGTAGGGACCCAGATTAATTAGAAAGGCCTCATTAGTTTCCAGTGGCTGGAGCATTGATGAGAGTGACCCAGTGATAGGCAGCAGGAGTTCCTGGGTGGCTTGAGCAGCCTAAAGCTCTACTTGACAGGTAGCCTGCAGAAATACTTCAGTCCCCCACTCTTCTGTCTCTTGATAAAATCAAGGAGAGGAACAAAAACAATTACGCAGATAATTAAAGAAAAACAAAACCTGTGTGTGGCAGGTAACTCGAAGAGCTTCCTCTACATTTTCTGGGCAACCAGATTCATTCTTTGCTTCCCTGGTGTCGGCACGAATCTGATCTGGCTCACACCAGCTACTTTAACAAGTAAAATGTTCTCAGCTGGTGCATATTGCTTCATAGGAATTCCCCTACTCATCCATTTCGATTTTGAAATAGCTCTGTCAGATCTCGGGGCTGCATCTTTCCCACTGATTCATGGCAAAACCCCAATCCTACTACTGCTGTGAAAATGTTAAGCTATTTGTGAAACTTCAGAAAGCAGGTTCTAGCAACTCATAGTACTTGCCTTATGATGCTGGGTTAAGATGAAATGTGTCCCCTCCCAGGCTGGGCAGATGAGATTCCAGTTATGGAGGCCAGGGAAGGTTTGTGTGGCGGCCTCTGTAGGAGGCATCTGCTACATTATATAACCAATGCTTTCCCATATGTCAAGTCCCACTGCCCTGACTTCAGAGATAAGAAGATAGAATTTCAACAAGATATGAAGCTGGTAGGTGAACAAAACTAAAATTTGAGCGAAGATCCACTTGATGCCAAAGTTTCTTTTTTAGTACCCATGTGGCTCTAGGATAACCAGGGCACCCACATTTTAAAAAAGTTCTAGGGCTGTTTTTATTGTCTTTCGGGCAAAAACTCTACATTAAAATCATAGTTCTCAAACTTTAACATGCATAACCATCACCTTGTAAGGCTTGTAAAAACCCAGATTGTTGGCTCCACATCTACTTACTGATTTAGGAGGCTGGAAATCGGGTCAAAGAATTTGCATTTTTAACAAGTTTCTAAGTGATAGTAATGCGGGGGGCTACATTGTGGGACTGACCTCTGTATGGAAGTGAACTTAGTACTAAAATGGACTTGAAAATCGTTAATAGAATAAGATCATAAATCTGTGAAGTCACCCGAGGGAGAATGATTGAGAATAAAACATGACTAATAATACAGCAAATACATCTAAAGAGAATACCTCTATATAGGTGGATGGTCAGAATAGAAACATTAAATAATGAGACAGAAAATGTAGCCAGTACTAATCATCTAGAAGGAACTAGTGATGTGTCAGTTTCTCCTTTGCCTTTGAATTCCCTGGACACCAAGCAATCATATAAAGATTAGTTAGATGGACATGATTAGTTTGTTTTCTTAGGTGTATGGGATGGTCTCCAGCATGACTGTTTTTTAGGGCCACCACTTTGGGTAATCTCTGTGGGTGCCATTGGCATCTCATTGATATCATATGAGAATGATGGCCCCTACTGGATTGGAAAAGGTCATTATGACCAATGATTCATACATGCTTTGCATGTCTGGAGACACTAATCATATTAAACACTCAGTCCTACGGACAGTTCCTGGGATCTGTGAGAACATAATGTCCAAGGGCCTATTCTGGAATAGTTTTCTTTGGCAATACTCCAACTGACTCAAAACTCTAAATCCTTGAAACAAGTGAAAATGGTAGAAGGTAGTTAACAAATGCATATCTTATCATAGTGTGTACCTTTGGTCCTAGCTTTGTGAGATCAAGATTGGATTTACAAAAGAGATACCATGGCTAAAACATTTGGACAAGTACGCAGGCACCCACTTGTGTCTCTCTTGACTGGAGCACTGGAGAAAGAGGAATTTCAGATGCTTTCCAGCCTTCCCTGCTTCGAAATAGTCTCCCAAAAGGTTTGCATTCCTCTGCTTCAACAGGGAGCCCGTACGTTCAGTCAACAGCTGTATGTCTTTATGGTTTGGACTCTTGGTATAGAAAAAAGTTATTCTGCCAGGAATATAAAACCGTAAATAGGTTCTGCATAAGGTCCCTATACACTTCGTATCTTCCTTCCTTCCCCCATTGGAAAGTCACTCTTCTTCTTTGCATCCTTCCTTCATATTTTTTTCCAGAATAGGACCTTACTTAATCCTTTTTTTAAAAAAAATTGTATTTTGAAAGTAGTAAAAATGCAACAGCACAAGACAGAACAAAGCCAATCGAGACAATGCAGTGAAATTGGTACAGGATTTCACAGTAGGCTACTGTGTACTACTATGCATAGTACCATAGGTACTATGGTATAGCTCTTTAACTTCACAATAGTTGTCCAGTCAATTAGGTATAACAAATTCAAACAAGAAACAGAACATTATAAAACCAATTGAGAGTATTGAATAAGCAAAAGAAACATAACAAAACAAAACAGTGAAAACAACCTTTGCCTTCAAAGAGAAGATAGAAGGAAATGCCCCATATTTGCTATACTGCATATGGTCATCCTCCCAAGAGATGCTGAGACATCTATCCCCAGTAGCTCTGGGGGCGGGGGGCGGGAGGCGGAAGGGTGTTTGATTTTCAGCCCACGTGCGGGTATGCTCACAGGAGCCTCTGGTTCTCCTCCTGGCCCCCGCAGGCCTTACTTAATCCTTACTTAATCTTTTTGGGCTGTGCTTCCTTATTATTGAGATGATTATAAGGATGATGGAGAGAGAGAGGGAGAGAAAGAGAGAGAGAGAGGGCAAGAGCTGAAAGCAGTGACCAATACAGTCTTGTGTTACATAAATATTACTTATTATCAGTTAAACATGATTATTAACAGGGGTTGTGGGTATGGGAGGCATATTGCAGGGAGAAGAAAGTGTATTGTCTATTCCTGTGTGCTTTAAGCTTTGCCCTCCTTCTTTAGGATTTTTTTCTTAATGAGAGTTGTTTACACTGCCAGTTTGTAGACAACTGGGGCCCAGAAATCAATTTATATGGGCCATGATCAGCATTAAAAAAATGAACAGAATATTAGCCTTCATTACACACAGTAAGTAAATATTCTTTTGTAAGACTTTAATCAGTTATACGTGTGTATTTGTATGGGGTCCTGATGTGACTTTTCCCCCCTTTATTTACTGTGGGTCTTGGTAGCATGAGAAGCCGCCCTTCTGATGTTTCCTGGGGTGGAACAGGTCAGGTGTTTACTTACGTTTGCTCTTGCAAGATCTCAGTGACTTATTTTCTAGGCTGACTTTTGGTCTCTACCGGCTTTCAGTTTTACTCAGTAGGTTGCTATCACGAAGTCACACAGGCAGGATGGATTACGAGTAACAGGAATTTATTTCACATAATTCTCTTGCATTTTTAAAGCATGGCATGGCACAAAAGGGTGAAATAAAGGATTACTCAGAGTCAGTGTCCAATCTATACTCCCATAGAGCCCAGAGGGGCTATCATTACTGAGATCCCTCAGCTTGAGAAAGTCTTAAGGGACAGCCCCAAACTGAAGCCCCTGTGACTTTTATTGATAGAACCAAGAAGTAGGGATCAAAGAAAAAGACGGGTCTCTGAGCAGCGATTCTTTTAAGGGACCATGGAACGACTGGAAGGTCAGGGTGGTCTGTTAAATGACTTACTGACCTTGGGATCAGTCTAAATGATAAATCAGAGTATGGGGAGAACAAAGGCCAGTGTATTCATTCCTTTCAGATAATGTGTTTTGATCTTGGACTTACGTTATCTTTTAATCTCTCACCATGTATTCTGGGAGGTTTGGGTTTATGGCTCTAAAAGCCCCTTCCCTCTGCATCTCATACATACCTATGGCAGGACCCTCACATAGTTCTAAAGATGATGCCCAAGACCAGCGTGCAGCATGGTCAGGTTCTGGTTTGGGCTGTAGATAGACAAGTCCTTATTCTACCCTGACATGGCAAAGGAGGAGGTACCTCTGGGGGTCTATAAGGGCTAATCATGGGGGTTTCACTCTCATGACTCAATAACAACCCCAGGTCCCCATCTCTAAATACCCACTGCATTGGATGCTGGAACTTTAAAATGTGGATTTGGGGAGGCACATTCAGTTCATAATACTGAGTCAAGCAGTATCTCTTCCCTTCCAGGAGAAGCCTGGGGCTCAGGCGGCTCCCTGATACAAAGCCCCGGAGGAGACAATGGGGTGAACAGGGCTGTGCATGGGGACGTTTTCCCTCTATTTTATATTATGACCCAGTTTCTCACTCAGTTCAAACTTAATACAAAGCTGCACCAAGTTTCAGTAAGGGCGTGGCGAAATTGTGAGAGAAGGTATTCATACCTGCCTCCTTCATCCTTTTTCTGAATAGGAGGAAAGAATGTCCTGGAATTTAGGTCCTTCACAGGGCCACGTCTCAGATGTTCCTGGTTTATCACTGCGTTTCCCTGCCCTCAGGGCCCTGACCACATCTGTTGCTACACAAAATGATTTCTTTCTTCATTCTTTTGGCATCAGGGAGGTGGGACTGGTGGGGGGGATAGAAATTCTACTTTTTACTCCCACAGTGCTATAATTTTAAAAAATCTCCTTTGGAGTATTAAGAAAAGGCCAGTTAAGTTTTAAAATATCCATTTCAGAGCCCAAATAATCCCGTCCATCTCCTCTGCCCTCTGCCCAGCGCTGGCCACGCTGCTCTGTTGGGAGATGCAGCAGGGAGGAGGGCTAGCCACACTTCTCCCGTGCACTCTGTCATCCCGGAGGTGCGCTAACCATCCAACCGTCTCTTGGCTTTTGCATCTTAGGCTGAGGTGGGCTAAGCACCTCCCAGATTGAATCCTTCTTAAGACACATATGTGAGTTCTTCATGGACTATTTGGGGTCAGGGAAGGCCTTCTGTCCGCATCTGTCCAATTCATTTACCTGAAAGCTCTGTGTGAGTTCAGCCTCTTAGAATCTTATTGGGCTTTTATCACCAGTAATATGTCTTATTGTTTCCTGCTGTGCAGGACTCCCACGTGGGAGGTGGCCCTCTTGTTTCAGGTATGAACAGCTCAAGTCCAGGTACCTTCTGACGTGTTCCCCTGAGCCAGGAGACTCAGGGTTCTTTGTGACAACAAATGGCAAGAGGGCTGACTCCTGGGCTGCTGGCTTCTCTCCACCATTTCAGTTCTCCGCTGCTCTGCCCTAGCACAGAGAATGAGCAGATCACTATGTCTGCTCCGTTATCTGACGTCCTGCCATTGCTGCGCATAGACTCGGGCTGCATGCTGCAGGGCTGGAAGTCAAGTAGTTCAGAGGCAAGGTGCTGGTAGAGAAAACATTACCATGATCTAACCGATGGGAAGATGGCAGGGATTCCTGTCTCTGCAGAGTCATCTAGTCAGGAGGCTGGCTGAGGGGCAGTTTACTTATGAGATAGTGATCACAGACTGATGAATGTCTTCTGCAACATGAAAGTTTGTGGCCGAATGACCCAGCAGATCTTAGCTGCAGACGCTTTTTGGTTCTGCAGATTTTGAGAACAAAGATCATTACCTTCTCAGGTTGTGCTTGTTGTGGATTAATTTGCCCAGCTGTACCTCTTGACATGTTACACAGTGGAAAAATTGTGAGAGGAAACTGTCTTGAGGCTTTCCTGATCCAACTCTATGGCCATGAAAGAAAATGCAGGTCACCTGACTATGGTGGAAGACAAGGGCCGGTAAGATAGAAGGGGAACCAGGCAGGAGCCTTGGTCTCCGCATTCGTTTTTGTTACTGTGGATCCTGATGCCTCCTTTTATCCCTGAGACCCCAGGATCTTTCTCTCTCTCTCTCTGTCTCTCTCTCTCTGACAATGAGAAAAACCATTCTCCACTGATGACCTGTGACAAGTAATTGCTCTCTCCCCTAATCCACTTGTGTGGGGTAGGGAGAATGAGAGGGTTCCGGGGATGGTTGGGAACATTGGAGCTAGTTAGGTCCAGCCTACTAAGACATCTTGCAGGAGTCTATGCCGTCAGATGGTGGCAACTTTCTTTACAGTGCGAAGCTCCTGATGTGTCTTTGCCTTCTTCTCCAGATTTTGCTCACTGATTTGGAGACATTAATGGTATCATCAACTTTTCACTGCTTACTTTCCAAGTCTCTGTTATCTATCCTGCCCATACTCTGCAGAGTTAAGTCAGAAGGGTTTGGAATTGAAGGTTTGAGGTGTCTTTACATACACCTGAGCACAGGTCAAGGCATGGTGTTGCACAGAAGCACGGGTCTGATTGGACGCAGGCCCGTTGCGGGGTGGGGGGGGGGGCGGATCCAGTTCCTGTTGTAGCTGCAATACTGCCCTCAAGTGGATATTTTTGAGTTAAAAAGGAAACTAAAAATGCAGAATGACAGAACTGGCAAAGATATTTTGCTTATAATGTGTTTCCATGAAATGCAAACAACTTGAGAAAAAAATCCAGCTCACTTTCACAGTCAATACATTTTATCTTCAAAAGTTCAGAATTTATTGCACTTCTAACACTAAAAGAAAAAATATTTAATATTGCTTTTATTGTATTTGGACATTTTAGTTAACAATTAGCTATCATGTAGTAAATGGGAATTTTTTTCTTTTAAAGGAAAAACAAAAAAGCATTTCAAAAATAGTAGGAAATTAACACCAGATAATATACTGAATATTGTTATTTTGAAAATAGTTGTTCAGATTTACAAGATTGAGGTATGAAAAAAATCACCAAACAATGAAACAATGGAATCACAAACTTCTCTTTTTGATGAATTTACAGATTAGCAGTATACACACACACACACGTACACATATACACATATAGTCTTTTCCCTTCTTTTTTTCTTCTTTCCCCTATCCCAGTTGTTCTTTCCTTTTGAGCAGTTCCTTGCCCTTTCATTTTTACAATATTTATTGTACATTTTGGATTTTATTACTCTTTCAGTTCTTTATTATTATTTTTACACTAGGGATACAATATGATATTTAAAAATCTGAGTCTGATTTATTTTCACTTATGAGTATAGTCTCAAGTTGCCTCCATTTACCTATAAAAGCCTGAAGATCATCACTTTTATAACTGAGTAATATTCCATGGTATAAAAATACCATGTCTTTTTCATCCATTCTGTGGTTAATGGGCATTTTGGTTGTTTCCAAGATTTAGCTATTACAAACTGTGCTTCTCTCAACATGGGTGCATATAAGTCACTGTGACCTTTTCAATTTTGGGGGGAAAATATGTAGGACAGAAATAGCTGGATTGAAAGGGACTTCCAATACTAGTTTTTGAGGAATTTCCATACTGACTTCCATAGTGGCTGTACCAGTGTACACCCCACCAACAGTGGAGAAGGGTTCCTTTTTCCCCACAGCCCCGCCAAAATTTGTTATCAGTTGATTTCTTGATGGCAACCATTCTTTCTGGAGTGCCATGGAATTTCAATGTTGTTTAAATTTGCATTTCTTGAATTACCAGTGATGGTGAACATTTCTTCATTTATTTATGTGCCATTTGTATGTATTCATCTGAAAAATGTATACACATCTCAGATGCCCATTTTTGGAGTAGGGCTAGGTGTTTTTCAATTCTTTTTGTGTTCTGGATATAAGTCCTTTGTATGAGGGACTGCTGGCTAAAATTCTTAGCCATTCTGTGGGTTTTCTTTTCACTTTGTTGGCAATTTCTTTTGAAGTGCAAAAACTTTGATGAGATCCCAATTGTTGATTCTTTGTAGTATTTCCATGCGGTTTGCCTTTTGTTCATGAACTCTTTGCCTACCCCTATATCTTCAAAATTTCTACCTACATTTTATTCTAGTAGATTTAGTGTTTCTTTTTTAATATTTAGATCTTTGATCCATTTTGACTTTACTCTAGTGCATGGTGATAGACATAAGTCTAGTTTCAGTCTTTGGCATGTGGAAAGCCAATTTTTCCAGCACCATTTATTAAAGAGGCTATCTTTCTTCCAGTGAACATATTTAGTCCATTTGTCACATACAGGGTAATTGGGTATATCTGTAATTGGGTTTGCATCTTCTAATATGTTCCATTGATCCTCAGGTCTATTTCTTTGCCAG